TAACATTACTGATGTCGTACACATCCTTCAGTGTGAAATGTGGCTCTCTTTGCAAGCACATCTAACATCTAAGGAAAGAAGAGCTTAGATTGGTACCAGATAAAATAATATTATCAACATTAATACATTATGCTAATTTTCATTCATCAAGGCAGTGCACATTATTTCTGTGACAGTCTTTTGAAGTGTGTAAAGCTCCATTTTATCCCATACATTGTCAAAATATTGGTGGGGGGAATGATACAATGGACCATCCCCCCTTGTCAAATATTGGGGGGGGGGGTATACCCCATCCCCCGGAATCTACGCCTATGGATTTAACCATCAGAAACTGTACAACTAATAGAAGAAAAGAGCGATTCTAAAATGCAACCGACAATGTGACCTTCGACCTCTTAGTATCTAATAATCAAACAACCATTAACACAAGTTTTTATTTGATCCCTCAAAAACTGAAAAGTTATACAATACTGTAATAGAAAACGTGCATTTGATGTGTTCTTACAAAATACGACAGCTCAGTTTATTACAAAATACGACGGAGAGTTATTACAACATGCGACAGCTGTTATTACAAAATAAGAAAAGGTATTACAAAATAGGACAAGGTTTGTTACAAAATACGACTCCTGGTATTACAAAATACGACGTAACATACGACGTCAAGAAAGTTTAGGCAAAGGCTGGCCTAGCTCGAGGTAAGACCAAGATGGCCTCTCTAGCTAGGCGCTTAGTGTTCCCCAGAAAAATCGGATTTCTTCACCGGAATATAGTTTTGGATAGGCGATTGAATCGTATAGGCAGTTGTTCTAATGCTTCTGCAACCTCGCAAAACGATAATTTTCGTTCTGTTCCTTTTATGCACACGGGAATCCCCGGTATAATCTCACTCCCTCCAAATCGGGCCAATTTCATGGGAGAGTGGGGGGGGGGGGGGGGNNGTGGGATTATACCCGGGGAACTACGATTTTCTACACAGGTGGGTTTGATAACTTAAAAGCACGTCCTCAAAAGCTTATACGAATCATTCTGTCACTGCAAATGTCGACTTGCAAGTTTGGGATAAGCATAAATTACTTAAAATCATACCCTACTATGAACAGCAGCCGAGTTACAAGTAGTGAAGTGGCCAGGCCGACGCGGACCAATTTTATCCAAGGGGGACCAGTTTTTTAGCGGATAAAATCAACCCGGAGGTTCTATTTCAGTAGTTATGAGGCTCGCCACTTTTTACGTGATATTATGGTATTATTAGTGTTCTCAAAAAGAAGGAAAATGTCTAATAGCTTTCAGTGGCGTAGAAAAATATTTTTCATTGGGGTGGGGGATGATTGGCGTGTTAGCCAGTGTCGTAACAGGAGCGGGGATGGGGCAGGGGAGGGGAAACTGCCCCTCCCCTGACGGTTTTTACCGGCCGACCAAGCCGTCGTACCGGGCTGGGTAATAAGAGAAAAGAAAGAGGGGAGAGGGAGGGAAAGAGAAAGAAGAGGAAAAGAAAAGGAAAGAAAAAGAGAAGAGAAAAATCTGTCTCTTATACACATCTAGATGTGTATAAGAAAGACAAGAATAAAAAGGAAGATATCATAATGACCAGACTCACAACACCCATGCAACCCCTTCTCCACTTCAAAAACTGTCATAACTCCTTTGATCTATGCTGCCCGATGGCGTAACCACTGGGGGACAAGGGGAAAATACCGTATCTATCTTTGAAAAGTCTTCCCCACCCCTTTATAAATGCCCTTTCATCACCTAAAAGTGCCTAAAAAACCTCAAATTTCGCGAATTTCTTGTTAATATGGCCCAATTCCCTCTAAAAATTGCACATTTTAGGGAGTTTTGATCAATTCCAACGAAATTAGAATTAATAACACCGTCTTTGGAAAATCTTTCACCCTTTGAAAAATACATTCTCTGAAAAAAAAAAAAAAAAAAAAAAAAAAAAAAAAAAAAAAAAAAAAAAAAAAAATATATATATATATATATATATATATATATATATAGTTGTTTTATATATAGTTGTGATTCATCGAAATGAAGGGTGCACATATTATACTGATGAACATATATTAGAATGGTTGAGACAAGCAATAATAACATAGGCGGTTGACGTTTTTCCAGGATATATAAAAATGTATTAAATAACGAATATTTCGGGAGTGCCTGCTCTCTTCTTCAGCGTAATGCCTACTGAATTAAAAAATACCGGATTGAACAATTCATTAGTCCAAATAGAAATCTAATGATAAACAACCGATAAACAAAAAGATCGGCACAATAGGCGGTCAAGTCAATACAAAGAATACGGTCTCTTTAACATAATAATTAGGATTTGATTATCTCTTGGCTAATTTGTTGATAAATGTATAGCCGCTTAAAATATCAAGGTCTTTGTTTATATATATATATATATATATATATATATATATATATATATATAACAATAAAGAAAATAGTGTATGAAGTAAAAGGGAAATGTTTAATAATTTAAACATATAAAGAGAGAGAGAGAGAATAATGTTTAGTTTTCGTGTACAAAATCTATTATACAAACGTAAAATATTTTTGAATAATTTAGTTTTATTAGGTATTCCTTATTATTAGTATTATATCATGATTTATATATAAATATATATTTCTGTATCATGGCTATTTTTCAATTTATATATTCATGTGATATCATGTACTTTAGGCCTATGGCACATATATATTAGACCTATATATATTTATATATGATATATATTACTGTATATCGAAGAAAAAAATAGAAAAACCAGTGGTGGCGGTGGTGGTTTTGGTGGTAGTTAGTAATAGGAAGCACAGTAGTATATGTGAACATTAGTCTACATACTACCATAATGTTTTGTGCATTAATTACAGCTATAGATAAATCCCACTGTTATGTAAACGATTCTATTGGTCGTTTAATAGTTCACCGGTTTTAAAGGCCCTGCATTATGTTGCTATGCAATTAATAACATACGACAAAAGCATATGCCACGTGATCGATTTAAAAAAAAGAAAGGCAACAACATGGCGAGGCATGTAGATTCCAGTTCAATTAGTCGTTTTAGGTGGCTTATTGTATGTTTAGCCAACGATATTACCGACTACGAGTTGAAGAAAGCTAAGTCATTAATGAGAGACAAACTGGGTGATAGTAAATACGAGAATATCAAGGACACTTTTGCCTTCTTTGATGAGCTACTGGAAAGAAAACGTATTCACGAAGGGGATACCCAATTGTTACGGCATATCCTCCAAAAAATAGGTCGACAAGACTTGATCGATGAGCTTAACAATTACCATTCAGAGTATGCCATTATTGCTAAACATTATAATAAGCATCTTCCGGCCTATGAAGGCCCGTTCTTCGGTAGAAAGGACCGGTTGGAAGAGCTCGTCCGTCTGCTGCAAGGAAAACGCAAGAATGCCGTAGACATCATCTGTATCAGTGGACTTCCTGGTATGGGTAAGACCAGATTAGCCAAGGAGGCATGTTTTAATCAGATAGAGTACCACGAACTTTTGTTTATTAATCTACGAGAATTGACTACAACAGAGAGTATCTTTCGTGAAGTAATGCACAGATTGGGTGAAGATACGTATTTAGACATTGGCATAGATATTTTGACTTTAGAGTTGAAAAAATATAAGCCGAAGAATGCTGGTATGTAATAATTACTAATCTTAAAATACATTCCAACACATCTATATAGGCCTATCTTTAAGAGTTGGTTTTTTTTTTCAAACTAATCTTACTCCCTAACGTTTGGTACTGTAGGTAGGTAGCTATAGTTATGGATCTTTTTTGATATCAAGTACAAGTAAGAGTTTGGAATGCCCGTTTGGGAGTCCCATGCGTGGTGTGCCGGGGGCAGGTGTAGCCACCTTCAAAATGTTGTAATAATTATGTGTCGTAGTTCATGTTGGGATGTAACCTGATATTTATGGCTTCCTTATACTAGGCCTACTGTCTAAAAGGCGCATACCACCACCACCACTCAATTATCGCATACGGTGGTATGCGTCTTTTAGTGAGACTCACGTGAACCCCCACTTGGAAACCTGCTGTCATCCGTAATGGTTCATGAACAAACATCGTATAGCCCATTGCACTTATTACTAGGCCTTGCTAGAATCAGGCAAAACGTCAAGTCAATTAAGTAAATTTACACCACTCTCTGTAGGCCTACTTGATGTTGTCATAAAAGAACTAGGCCTTTTGGATACTGTAGCCTTACTACTACTACTGTATATAAATGATTTATAAAAAGCCTACCATTTCAATTTCAGTTAACCTTAAATACCAAAAACAACAGCCGTGCTTACAGTACGTCGAGGGAGATTATAGTGAACAGTCAAACATTGTAGGCCCTATATAGGCAATTTGCTTTAATATGATGGAAAAAACATTTAATTGTCGCATGTTTATTTGATCATCAACACTGGTTTATATTTTAAAAATTGTATTATTATACCTTTTAAAGTTGTATATAGCAGACAACAGTCAAATACATTGCTCAGATTGTTATACTTTCCAGTGTGGTTTAAGAATTCCACTCATTTAAATGTAGCCAATCTTTGAGCGGGAATATTTTTACTACCTGTAATTTTGACAGACCTGTCAGTGAGACCGTCGGTACTCGAAAGTACCAGTCACTACCCGACAATACCTGTCATTACCCGACAGTGACTGTTTGGAGGCATGCAAGAAAATATAAATCCTGGTGTGCTATGAAAATATGTGCTTCATATAACTATAATTCGGACGACATCATTTTTAGAAACCATTCTACGTGTCCAGGTGTAGGCTTTTAGACGATCAATATGGTGTTATATGCTGATCTAGTTAACTTTGTTCAGTTTTGGTGAAGAACAACTCGATTGTATCCTATTCTTAGGTTGGGTCTAATTTATGTATGTGAAAATAAGTTGATTGTCTTCATATTTTTTATTATTTCGGAAAATAATTGAAAAATGTTGACCCTTAATAAATAATAAATATTTTTGCTTGCGTACACCATGATACATAAATGAAAGACAGAGACTAATCTTAACTTTCGGTAGTATTTTAAGGGAAAATTCGATTGCTCTGAACCTGAAGAAAATGCATAGATAGCGCCTTTTACTGATTTGTATTTTTCATTTATTTTATTTCATTCCATCCAACAGCGTAAAACGCCAATTACAGGATTCATAAAATTCAATATAATATTCAATATAATATATAGAAATTACATTATAATACCATTAAAATTATTAGAATAAAAATAGAAAATAGCACACAATATAAAAGATTGTGATGATAATAATGTTGTTATAAAAGTAGATAGGCTTTCTTTTTAAACGATTTTAAAGGTTGATGAAAAATATCTAAAGTGTATTGAAACATTGCCAAATTTATGGGATGCTACTGAAAGAATTGCAAAATAATGAATGGTAACAGTTGATGGAGGTGATAAAATTAGTAAAGAATATCTTCAAGTAAGTTGTTGCCGCGATTATGAGACTGAGCCAAAAGGAGGAAAGGATGTACCATGGGATTGTTCCCTGAGCAAAAATGCGATATCCTGCCCTCAATTGTTGTCTTTTGTAAGTCAAAGGCTTCGGGTCCATTTTCGATAATACCACTAACATTTTTTTTTTTTAGAATAGGGATTAAGTCGCAACAAGATATTAACCCTAATTCTGAAATCAGCTATATATTACTTAAATTAAATGTTGAACTCGTTTAACGGTAATTGACTAGGTCTATTAATTTTTTTTGTGCCTTAGAAACCCTTCGATATTATATGCATTTGTGAATGTTTTTGTCCTTTACCATGGGTTTATGTTGCTAATGGTAATGTTACTAATTTTTATCGTTTGAACAGGCGGTGCTGTACTTATATTTGACAATGCCGATCGCCCACTAAACACTCCTGGAGAGGGAAAAGACGATGAAGTATACAACAATTTTGTTGAACTAATTGAAAGAATCATTAGATGTGGTAACACTCATCTGAAGGTTTTAATCACAACAAGAGGAAGTTTGCCTCGAAAACTATGCACTCGTTATGAAAACTGCGTCTTTGAGGTTTCAATCAAGGCCCATGAGCTAGAATATGATGACGCAGGAGATATCCTCAAATACTACGCCGGCAAAGAGACTGCAATATCAAATGAAGATTTGAAACAGCTCATACACTTATGCGGAAAGTGCCCGTTGGTTTTGAAAGTCATTGGTAGGCGTTTGCAGGACCAAGCTATACCTCCTAAAAAAATGATTGAGTATTTAAAATATAAATCTGATGGCATCACTAATCTTGAATTCTGTGATGAAGTAAACCTCGAAGCTTGTTTGAAGGACACGTTTTATCGCCTGCCCGAAGCACAGAGGTTTCGTTTGCTTCGACTTTCCACTATTCCTGGTACATTTACCAGTCGTGCAGCTCAGGTTGTTTTAGGAATGAAGTCAGCCGATAAGGTCGATGTCAAGCTCCAGCTTCAAGGCTTAAAATACAGGAATCTCATTGAGACATCTATAGATAACGATGACTTCAACGCGTCAGGTATACGCTACGGAATGCACCTTCTGATGCGACAGTTTTTGCAAAAGATAGCCAAGGATGATAAGTCTATCACGAAGCATTACCGCGAAGCAGAAGAGAAGTTTGTCCACTATTATTTAAGAAAGCTAGCAAAAATTGGAAGAATGAGTCAGAAAGAGTACAAGAGAGCCATGAAAAGAAAAAATGATGACGCTGCCAATTTTCAAGAGCTACTTAAGCTACTACCAAAACAGAAAAGAGTCATTGAAGACGAAGAGTGGCAAGCAATATCTAGTACAGTGGAACTATTTTATTCACCAAAAGAAAGATTACAGTTTTTTACAGACCAGCGAGAGCTTGAGCAAGAAAACAATAACACAAACAAGATTGTTGAAATGTTGGCGTACGAAGGGGTACAGATGTCCATAAATAATTATAATTACGAAGAGATTCTTCCAAAGTTTGCAGAAGCTGAGATAATGCTGCTGAAAGCTACAAAGAAAACAGTAGTAAATTCAAATAATATATTCCTAACCAGTTTATTATATTTGTTATCCAAGATTAAACCTGACAGATATTTTGCTGAAAAGTACATCCAGAACTTAAGCGATGCCGAGAAAGAAATACTTGTAATACTTTATCACCTTTGGGGTAATGCTTGTACAAAATGTGGTCGTGATTTAGACCTTGCCAATAAGCGGATGCAAATCGCATATGCTCTTGTTAGAGAGCTAAATCTGAGAAACGCAACCACTGCTAGATTTTATAGCACAATGGCCACTGTGATGCAGAACCAATATTGGCGCCAGGGAGGCAATGCTCTCTTCAAAAGGAGCAAAATAAAAGCAGCAATGGAATTTTACACAATGGCATACAATTTAAAAAAAGAACTAACTGGGTCAGAGAATCACCCAGATATTGCCGTGTATCTAGCGAGCATCGGGGGTTGCTACTATCAGTTAAAAGATATAGAAAATGCTATCAATTCTTACAAAAAGGCCATAGTGTTAAGAGATAAACTTCAAATCCAATACAATGAAGCACACCTAAGAACACTCAGAAACCTTGCACTTGCCTACAGAGATAACGGCAGGTAACACTCTACTGTAACAAACTATATCTTATATAAAGCCAGGGTCCTGAGCGAAGAATTGATATGTTGTTCAACTGATTTCATAAGACACTACTTAAGAGGTGTTTAACGAAAACACAGGAACGGTTGTTACCAAGACACATGGGTATATAAAATGGGGGCGGGGTAATGGTTGTTTTAAATATTCCGAAATCTGTATCTTAATGGTTGTTGCCGAGTTCTGTAGTGTCTCTAAAAATCAGTTGTAGACTTATCAGAGAAACAACTTCCTCCTGGGTCTGACTTTTGATTATCTCAAACGTCAACTGTATTTTAAGTTCATATTATGTCACTCAATGGAACAGTGAATACTTCATATATATACATATACATAATCAGTTGCATAGCGGTATCTGTTCGGTAGAGGTAAATTTGGACATTTAGGCTTGGCCGGGGAATAGTGCATAGGGGGAAACCCTCGGAAGTTACGGATTTATGCCAAATGTTGTTGGTAAATTATTTTTTATATATTTTTAATTGATTTCAAACATCATCCAACAACGAGAAGCCAATTACAGGATGTCTTAAATACATTGTATAAAAGCATTGAAATACAGTACAAATATATCATTAATTATTTATACTGTACAATTATTATATTGGAAAATTTAAAAAGATATTGCAGGTACATAAAATACTTTACACAGATAGTACTGATAGAACACATTATCATTTTATATAAAAACATTGAAAATACTGTACAAAAAATGTATTAATTAATAATACAATTATAATACCGGTATATATATATATATATATATATATATATATAATACAAAAAACAGTTATTAATTATTAATACCCTTATATGTTATTTATGTTCAACATATATATATATATATATATATATATATATATATATATATAT